AAAACGCTCCTGGGAGGGTAATTATGGAAATTTTTTGAGTTTGGCTTCAAAATTCAAGGATTTGGCTAAGCTAAAACAAGTTTTGAGGTCCCCCTGGCGCTTGAAAGGAGAAATGAATAGTACAAGTTTATCAAACTGAAGATATTAACTACGTAAAGCGCTCCCTGACAATGATCATGGCCCCATCTGAGCTCATAGACTGCAGTTCTGAATGATTTTATTGTATTTGCGAGGTGAAATTTTTGCGTCAAAAACTTCCAGAACTCCCCTCGTAGAAGCGCTTTGCAGATACGGAAAGCAGATTTGGAATCAGCGTTTCATGTTCTAATACAGTATACATTTCATACACAAACGCCACTTCGACCAAGTATCCTTCCCTTGTTAGTGGTAGTGCCTTTTCTGCTCACTAATATAGGGCGGCTTCTAAGATGGAAGTAGGAAAATAAAATCTTTTTAAATGGTCATACTGAGTTAGGCTGCTAAAAATCTGAAAGTTGCAATAGAATTCCCAGCAAGCAATATAGTGTGTTTTTTGACCCACCCTTTCCAACAGAGCAAAATTTCAGCATCTCTGTGAAGAATTATGATTTCCGAAAAAATGCCAAAAAATCAAATTTGCTGTTTGGTATTACTTACTCAAAAATCACTACTCTTCATAGAGATGCTCATTTGATACAAACTCTGCACTGTTGGAAAGGGTGGATCAACTTACTGTACTGCTTGCAGGGAATTTTATCGTAAGTTTCCGACTTTTAGCAGCCTAACTTAAAATGATCGAAGTTGAAGTGATTTTATTCTTCTGCTTTCATCTCAATAGCTTCGCCTCATTAGAAAAAGGGCACTATCACAAAGAAAATGATTTTCTCGATCTAGCGGAGTCAACTTTGCGCGAATCCGTCAAGAGCAAGGAGTTATGACTTTTCAATGCAAGAACTTTCGCATCACTCTAATATTAGGTTGTTCCGAATGTATTCCTTTTGTTCAAACGCAGTGTAACACTCCGCAAAACGACGATTCGCAAAGGCTTCTAGGAGTATTCAATGCAGTTTTCCGTTTTCATTTGAAAGCTTCTAATTCGTCCCAATTTAATCAACGAGCTCTGAGGAAATGACTAAGAACCAGGACCCACAGTTCATGTCGTAGTCAAGTTCCGCTATTTTTTCAAGTTTTTATAACAAGAAGTCCAAGATATGGATAAATGGGCTAGCCCTACAAAATGCATACCAAATTTTTTTTCTATGATTCTTCATTAGTTTTTGGATAGATTTTCACCAATACCACGGAATTATAGCGGGCCAAATGCATCAAACACCGATAAATCGCAACTCTTTCAAAACTGATTATGTGACTTGATACTAATCTTACAGAGCAAATGAGAGCGTTCCAGTCTTCAAAATAACAAATATCGACTTGTTTGCGTACAGCCCGCGGCGCGTACAAATACGAATTGATTTTATCCCTGAAGAATTCAACGGGAACAAAAAACGTCTGCTGAAACGAGGAAAAAAGCTACTTAAGTGATAGCCGATTTGCTCGCCGCCTGCTGAAGTTCTGTGGGTTCAAGTTGACCAAATTTGGAATTTTATAGAAAAAATATAGTTCCGAGAATTTTGTGAAGCAACCTAAAGACAAGAAAAAAATTTGCTATGTATCATGTAGAGTTAGGCCTCGACCAGAGTTTTCGCGATTTCATGACCGCGATTTCCCAAACAAGACAAACAGTTAAAAGTCCATCGCATGGCGATAATCTTGCATTTCGACTGTGATAGTTCCCCAACACGACCAATCGTGACAATATCACAACCGAAATGCAAGGTGATCGACATGCGATGGACTCGCATGTCGATCACCTTGCAAAACTTAAGGCCCTGGCATACTTAACGCGATTTAAGTCGCGACGCGATCTGGCAATTCGCCAGAAGTTCTCAGATCCAACACTAGCTAACTGCACATGCATAGTGTGTATAACTCACGTGGATTGATAGAAAGCCCTATCTTCCGTACATAGGAACCCCTTACAGTGAGTTATGGACAACTGGCTAATGCCAAATCGCGTCGCGACTGAAATCGCGTGAAGTATGCCCGGCCCTTGAGCCCTACTTATCCGTAACTGGGGTTCTTTCGGGAAGTCGGTACAAAAACTTGACTACGGCAAACACCGTGGTCGTACTTTCTGGTTATTTCCTAAGAGTTCCTTGACTAAACTGGAACGAAAGTAGTGAGTTTGAAGGAGGACGAAAACTGCAATATAGCAGCGCCAAGAGCTTTTGAGAGCCTTTGTTCTGGGGGATGTTACACCGGTTTGAGGAAATTATTTCCGGGTTATTTTTGGAACGACCCAAACCATTCAGAAAATAGGATCTTGAAGAGTGTAGATGAACTCATGAACGTGTCAACGTCCATATCTTTCTAAAGGAGCTTCATTAGAAAAAGAGACACCCGCTTCTTTTGTTGTGAGTCCAGTGCCGTGGAGTGCCGCACAGTGTGTGCAGACTCGTACCTCACAAACTGCTACGCCATACAAGATCGTTTCGCTCTGCTTGTTGGCATTTCATTTCATTGGTATGCAATAATTTCTGCTGTTCTGTGATTGAGGAGGTACAGTCCATGCCAGGTGTCCTCCAATATTGTAGTAAAACTTGTACGCTTTGTACACATTGTCTGACCAAGCTTGAACTTGTCTTCCCTGGCCCGCTAGTAAGTAATAAGTCATAGAATGATCAGTTTTGTTCAGATAGTGTGTACAAGCTACTCGAGTATCCTAGTCTCAAAATGAATGATATTTAACAGTGAGGATCTGATTGCGGAAATCGCGCATTTTACCATCTCCTAGCTTGCAACCACCAAAATCGAATCGATCATGTAACTAATGTGCTGCTTCCAGTTTCAGGTCGCTCTACTTTGAAGACATGCGCCGTACTTGATCCGCTTGATCCAATCAATCACTTGATCCGGTTCGTACTGGTCGATTCTGTGAATTGACCAATAGCGAAGAGCTTGTCCTCTTGATCCGCTTGATCCACTTCATCAACTTTACTGCCAGTTTGCTGACGTGACCACTCTGATATTCGGTCCGTGCGGCGCGCGCGTGCTCCCCGTGCGGCGCCTTGTAGTGCGAGGGGGCCGAACGCTCCGTGCGCGGGGGCCGAACGCTCCATGCGCGCGGGCCGAACGGTGAATGCGCGCGGGCCGAACGGTATCGAAAGCGCTCCGTCCGCAAGCTACTAGAAAATAAGTCTTTCATAGATCTTCTTTTTCTTCTTTCGTCGTGCCGTGAGCATTTTCAACTTCACAGTCCAAAAAAAATCCGAATTCAAAAAATTCGAAAAATTGAATTTGATTTCATGGAATTCAAAAATTCAAATTTAGCACCCATTCGGGACGCTGTCGAGGCATAACCTCCGTAAAAGCAAAAAACTTCTTATGTTCCTGCGATTATTCAAATGCCAAGAAATGATATCTCCACAAGCTCCACAAGTATAAGTCAGCTCCACAAGTGATGGAGCAGCCTAATCACAGCGTCGTACCTCACGCGGGTACCCATTACGCTTATAGCGTGTGAGAATTGGAGGCGCGCGGGCGGCACGGGGAGAATATATCGCGCGCGGGCCGTACGCTAAGGATACAAGGCGCGCGGGCCGCACGGTACATGACCCCGCCCGTAAATTTAGGCGCGCGGGCCGCACTGCTGGCCATTAACAAGCGCGCGCCGCACGCACCGAATGTCAGAGCAATAGAAGTGAATGAAGCAGATCAAGTGGATCAAGTATGGCAAGTGCCAAAGCGACATGCTTTCCCATATCGTTGATTCTCAGTTTTCCTTGTGAGTGAGTTGTGTGTATGCAATGCTATTTTGTTGAAGTGTGATCTATAGATTGGTAGTCTGTTGATCACTCGACGTTCGCCCCACATTTCGTTAGTCCTAGATTCGGTAGCCCCATGGCAGCGGTAACTAACCAGTCCGTCGTTTGCTTGGAAACTTTACAAATTATTGTCCTTCATCGGGTATCAAGTATTGTCGTATCCGGTTCACTTCATGTACTGCACCAATAACTTCATAAAGCACAGCACCATGTTGGAGAATGGCGCTGTGTTGAAAAAGATAGGATTCACTGCTAGTTAGCATACTCCATCAATACCCATGGTTCATAGCACCTTATTTTATAGTGATTGCTCTAGAAATGATGATGTCTAGATCATCCTTGAAGATGCACTCAATCTTGAATAGTTCTTGCGGAAGGAGGTTTGTGTTTGGATTATGTCTCTGCTGTGGTCCAGTACGCCTGCCCTGAGCAGCTGCTTTTTTCACCAACGTTGCCGTTTCCATTGATTGATACAACTAATATCAACTGTACCAACTTATATCCTTCGCTCTCACTTTGAAAGTGAAACCTGGTCCAGTTCTACACTTCTAGAAAATTACCTCACTTCAGTGTCATTTGGTAAGGTAAACCATTTTGTTTTTGTACTTCACTGAATAGCTCTCCAGTTTAGGCACGCGCCATACAGTCGAGTAGATTTAGCGGTAAATATAGTGTGCTTGCACAGAAGGTGAAATGCGGTGAAATTGGCGCGTGAAGAAATAGTTTCGACTGTGACGCCGGCCAATTGCGCGCGCAAGATACTCGCGGTACTGACGTGGCTACTTGTCCACGCGCAAATTTCACCGCATTTCACCTTCTGTGCAAGCACACTATATTTACCGCTAAATCTACTCGACTGTACTTGATCCGTTCCGTCATTGGTTAATTCCGTCAACTGACCAGTAGCGAAGCGGTTGTCCGATGCGCTTGATCCACTTCTTCGCTATCGATCAGTTTGATGAAGTAATCAAGGATCACAAGTGGATCAAGCGCATCAAGTATGAAGTGCCGCAAGGATCTTGTATATCGATGGTGTCAATGCACACCATCCACTTTGCGCATATCCTTCGGATTTGCTTGAATTCGTTCTTTGAATAAAAGAACAAAGTTCTTCTTCTGAAGGAATTTGCATTTATAGAAAGGAAGATGGGTCGCATAATATAGATATTTATTGCATCCGCTAAATTGTAATAATGGCTTGTATCTTCGTTGTGCTACCCGTCCGCTTGTTGGCTTCAAACGTGTTAATGGTACTTTTTTTTCAGGGAAGGTTAGCAAGATGAAGGTGACTGCCGTAGGTCCACAAATGCGTGCGTTCAACAGCCGTGTACGTCAGTTTTCTGCTCAGGCACACTTTACTCGCCCTACCGTTGTCTTTGTGAAAGAGGCAGCAGGTCAGCTCTCTTAGTTTCCTAGCTTTTTGAGTTATACTCATCTAGACCGTATCTTTTCAGTGCGCCAGAATTCTCTATTAGGACCCGCAGACAAGCAATTCCCTTTGCCAGGTGATGTTTGCCACAAAGTTTTGCTGCAGGATCAACCAGTCACAAAGGTGAGAGTGTTTATCTGGCAACAAAAACCCAGCCATTGTTGTGTCGTTTTGCGTGCGAATTCTGCTGCAGCAATTGCATTATGAAATAACTCGTAAGCGAAGTATCGCAATGCTTGTGCCCATCGAAAGGGACACTATGATTGAAACAGACTCTAGTAGTTCCTATTAGATGAGGACTGAATTTTCTATTTCTTCGCTATTTCAGCGTTCCGTTGCTCCATCAGTGGCGGATCAGAACGTTCACTCTGTAGAGGAATTGCTTTCGAGCAATCGCGTCGAGTCGGATCCACAGTACCTCGCACAAATACAAGAATCTGTTCTTGAGGAGGTGAGTATGGGTATCATGCAGCTGCAATGGTTCTTCTTGTTCTTTACTACAACATGGTTTTACTCTCTATGATACTCTTTTCTTGACAACTGTGCGAAAATGTGTTTGTGTTTCAGGCGCAGGCGAACGCTGGAGATTGGCCCGTTGAAGTAATTGTGCAAGAGTGTCCGCGGTTATTGAAAAAAGGTTAGACATAGACTTGTCATGTTAGAAATTTGCTGTTTTTTTATCTGCATGTGTTTTCAAGAATCCGAAGAAAGTAACTTTTTTGATTACATGCTTTCGTAATGCTTATCCGAGTTGGTCTTGAGTGTTTTAATGATTCTAAAAGTACCCGACTAGTAGACGAACATCAGAAACAATCTACAGATCATGCCGTGCTTAAGATTATCTATTCTTCTGTAGTTTAGATATGAAACATCTATTCCCTGGAATGAATTTTGACAATGCAAATGTCACTGTGATGAACATTACTCAAAAAACCGAAAATGACATGAAGGCCTGGAGCGACGAAATGGAGCAGGAACGCCATATGCTTACCGCTTCGGTAATTTCCATTTTTTCTGCATTCACCATTTGAGGAAAATTTTTAGTTTATCTCCTCTGCATCTGCTATCGCCACTACATTACGCCGCTGTGGATATTGGGCCGACTTTATTGACCCATCATCTGGCAGACCTTACTTAGGTAGGTTCATCCAACAAGCTCAATTTTCACTACTTTGGGTTCATTCCTTTAGCGAGGCATGTTTATTTGTCCTAGATCGTTCAAGGAGAGCGTTGGACGGTTTCTCAATTATTTTTTCTATCATTTTGGAAAATTCCTAAACACTCTATGCATTCAAAATAGCACAATAACAGACGCGCGTTTGTAGGACTTATGCGTTCAGTGATTGTTAGGCCGCCTTCACTTCCTTCCAGTCATACGTACATTTAGGGAAATTTACTAATCACACTTTGTTCGAAACGGACGATGCTTACAAAGATATGGGCTTCCAAATCGAAGATCTAGGATGCTGCAAAGTAAGTCAGCAGAATTTGCATCACCGTATAGGTAGGCTCCAGACTAGCCGATTGTTTGCTTCAGCAGAAGGCGGCGCAACTAGTAAATGGATGTTATTTGGCGTCACGTTGGACGGAATCGAATTGGCGTGTGCAGTGTTTGCAACAACAATAGTTTTGGCAAGATGATGAAAGCCTCGTAGCATAAGAGAATGATAGAAAGGCCTCACAATAAAAAATTCTTGTTGTAGCGAAATCGCAGACGCCGGCTTGATTTTCATTTAACGTGACGCCTTATGGCATAACCTCAGACAAATCTGCGCGCACTGAATCAGCGAGCGATGTACCTTCCCGCCGCCTGTGTGTGCAGTGCGCGCCGCCTATGGATTGAAGGCCCGCAGCCTGCGCGCTACGAGGAAAATTTTGGCAGGAATCTGCTCGGATTTTTGTTGTCGGTCTGAATATCTGAATATCTTATGCTTGTTGGACAATATGGTTTCACAACTGTTTTATTAACGAATTATATCTACAATTTTCAAATTTGACAGGTTTTAACACAAACTGCAACAATACAGTATTTACAGGATAAGGCTGTCTTTGACAGCTGGCATTAGATACTATTAGCTTAGGTAGTACTTACAAAATTCACAAACATTTCAAAGTCAACAACAACAAGGTATTTACATTCAAATGTGATATCAACAAGAGTGTGTATGAAGTAATGAATGCAATGAAGTTGAAAGTAACGAATGCAACAGTATGACGAGATAACTTGAAATAACTGCCAATAAAATCACTAAGTACTTTGATAAATAAACTGAACATGTATACATAGATATGAATGCATAATATATGTACAGTTTTAGAGGAATAAAATATGAAAATGCGATAGCAATGAACAAAACGCGGGCATGCTTGATCAGCCAGAATCAAATGCTCATAGATTTCATATACCCAATTCAATTACAGGAATAAATAATTGGATGACGGGGATATGATGGGTATAAGCATGAAAATGGGGATGAATGATGAGACATGAATACATCTAAGACATGAATAATCTGGATCAGCCTCGTCCTCGTTAGTTTCTCGTAATGGTCTTTGTTCTATCAAGGGCTAGATTCCATCAGTCGGTGCTAGACACTTGCTGTGGTGCTGAAATACAGGCTATTAACAAACTGAAGAGAAAAAGCAACAAACATTTTGACAAATATAGAAAAAATGCAATTTTTCACCTCTTCAAGATAATTAGTCAGGGCTGAGGTCCCACGACCATGAATTGTTTTGATTCTTGGTATTTGTGGTCATTGTAGATTGGTGGCTGAAACACAATAATGTTTTAGGCAAAATACCTACTTTGGCTTCAAAAAACAAGACTTACTCTTTTTAGGTTGACTTTTTTTCGGCATCCACACATAGCCAGCATTGTACTAAGGCAGTTGTGACCTGAATTAAACATTGCTCTTATCTTGTGAAAAAGGAAGAGAAAGAAATGGCAACGGAAAGAAAAAGAGGCGCAACGACGCAAGAAAGCGTTATTGATTGAAAATGAGCGTCCCTGTGTCACGGGGTCAATATGATTAAGAACCAGAGGTAGGATAAAAGATATGGAAGACTGACTGAGAAACAAGAGTGAATTTGGATTGAATAAGAGAGGATGTGCTACAAAAAGGCAAAAAAATCGCATACTTGATTTCAAAACAATTTAGAAACAGAAAAAGAGGTGAAACAGCAGAGTAAAAGTGAGGTAATAAACAACACAATACTTTGTATGAAAAAAACAAGGAGGAACGAGGAGAAACGATTATCTGCAAAAAATTCTGCATTTGCGCGCGAAAGCAGCGTCCTTCTTCGCTTACGTGATGCTACAGAAAGTTCATTGCGTGCCGCCTGCACGCACACTGTGTCTGCGCGCCGCCTGCGAACATGCATTGCGCGCCGCCTATTGGCTGAAATCAGTGCGCGCCGCCTGTGCGGTGCAAGGTCACGCCCACAAATCACGGCCCGCCGCCTGCCCTGCTGGCCGTGAGTGCGCGCCGCTTGCGCGCAGAATTGTCTGAGACGGGGCCGAGTCCTGCTAAAGCAGGACGATCGGCTAGTGGCGCCTACCATACCTACGGCTTGAGTGTTGCATTAAATATATAATCTTGTCACGCAGAATTATTTTCCATAACTGCTTATCTGCTTTCAGGTGCTGCAGCATATCGCATGGGGTACCCACGCATTTGTTGGCACGCTGTTCACTGATGCACCCGCAGACTGTCAGATCGTTCAAGACATTGTACGCAAAGTGAATAACGACGACGTTGTAGTGCAAAATCGCGAGTGATTCACAGATGTTGTATAGCTTACTTTCCTCTTTTTTTTTCACACTCAGCCCTCATTCTCAGTACTATAGTTCTCTAGTGCATCTAATATATATAAGTATATCGGTTTATTTTTCCTTGAGAGTATCTAGAACGATTGTTGATGCCATTGTCTGGGATAGGACTTTGCGGTAAGAGTCCCTCTAAGAGGCCTTGAACGGTACATTATAGTCCCGAGTGTTATTTAGAATAAAATTTCATATCATATCGATAAGAAACTTAAAGCTTCTGCAACAGTCGATGTGCTATTTCTGAAAGGTAGGTAATTTTTGTACTCAAATCTATCCCATGATACACAATGCTTGTGTTGGTGTTTTTGGATCTTCTTCTTTGAAAATCCTCCTACACTGGAGACCTGGTAGGAAAGTATTCCCTAAGAGGATTGGAGTTGTATGCTGCGGTCTTGAGTTATCTCCTATTTTTCTTTTTGTGATTACGAAACTGAATTCGTCAAAAAAGTCTTTGAAAGAGGAATGAGTGTATTCCATGGACAGCGCTCCATCCGCAATCTCCGTATTCTGCATTGGAACCCAGTAGAAAGTGTTCTCTAAAAGGATTTTAGTCGTTTGCTGTGGTCTTGTTTGTAATATGATATTTTCTTAATCTCAACAATTCTCCGCAAGTTGGAAGATGCTTACAGCAAAAGCATAGCGGTTTCCAGCGCTTCCCTGATTTTGACTTGTCTTACGTCACGCACGCCGCAAAGCTTTGCTTCCTCTGCTTTGCTTACAAGGGAATGGTCAGAAATCGAAGTGGCCAATCCAGTCAAGCTGCATACCATTAGATGCAGCATGAAGCGCTGACTCTAAATCTGTTTTCTTTATCTGCTTATCGCTTTTCTGGACGAAGTTATAAGCCATTAAAGACTATTATTTTGCTTAGAAATTATGCGTAAAATTGAAAATTTAGCCGTACAGAGCTTCGTTCGCCTCAATGTTGGGCCAAAACATGCAGCTAGCTTACTTAAAAGTTTTGTAGCCAGAAGCCGAACTAAAAGTGCAACAATGTGCTCAATTTCGCTGCTTTTATGTAGGATTTTTTTGCAATAAAACTGCTCGTAGCTTCGTCCACAGAAGCGGGAAGCAGATAAGGAAGACAGATTCGAAGTCAGCGTTTTATACTGCATTGAATGATATACAGCTTCTTTGGTTTGGCCACTTCGACTTCTGACCATTCCCTTGTTAGTCAAAAGCCGTTGCAGGGTGTGTCGCGCGCGGCGGTGGTCCGGTTTATGGAAAGCATTACGGACATCACTAGGTGCCTCCTGAAACGTGGTATAGACCTGCTTTCGGTACCTGCTAAGCGGTTGTGCGAAATAAGTTCTAAACTTTTTTTCAGTAAGAATTCGCACTGTTTCAGTCAAGCAAAAATATGAACGTCGCTAATTTTCTTGTTTCGCTTCTCGGAACTACATTTGAAGAGAGCGCAGTTATTTTGAGTTTGGATTTCCCTTTTGCGTTTATCCTCAAAGCTCAGACCGTAGTGATTCTGGCTATGCTTTAGTCTGCAAAAATTACGCGAAAAAAGGATACATAATCAAAGTCCAAGCTCGATTATCCGTGAATCTTGGCATGAGGGTGATTTGTATACGTATTCTGTAGCCGATAATCAATATTGTTAATACGCTTTTTTCACTCAGGTCAACGTTTCAGTCTTTCACCTTCGTCGAGCCTCGGCAATCTTCGAATCAGGGTTGAGCAACTACCAAACACAGCGTCTGCACAATTAGTAGTGAGTAGTCAACCCACATCGACCCACGTTTGCATAGTTAGTAGTTAGTCATTGCTAACTGTGCAGACGCTGTGTTTGGTGGTTGCTCAACTCTGATTCGGAGATTGCCGAGGCTCTGACGAAGGTGAAGGCACCGGAACGTTGGCCTGACTGAATAAAGCGTAGTAAGAATCTTGGTTATCGGCTACAGCTTACATAGTCATTCGAAAAATCAGGACGATGGCGCGACCGCGCGATAGGCACGCACTTCCAGCAGTCGCATTCTCTTGGTTTAATTTCCCATTCAAATGATTTTTGTGCTCACATATGATAGTATTCAGACAATGGAAGTGCCTGAGCTGAGCGTTGAGGCGATGCCTTTTTGGGTTTTTATGTTCCTGTGTGCGCAGAAACCGCAGCCAAACCCGTTTCACGACTTCAAGAATGACCTTCAACCATCTGAGACAATCGCTTAGCAGGTAGCGAAAGCAGATTTGTAATCAGCTTTCAATACGCATCCAGTGATACGTATCTCATTAGAAATGGCCACGGTCACCAAGTGTCTTTTCCTTGTTAGATGTACAATTTTTGACGCTGAAAACTTTTGGATGATTTGATTCACGAAACAGTTAATGGGATACAAATAAGACCGCAGCTTAACTGCGCTTCTGATCTTAATGGAACAAAAGCGGTAATGCACTTCTGCGCTATGTCTGCACCGCGCAAAGTAGAACGTGCAAATAAATTAGTTGCAAACATCCTGGATTGCTCATAACTTCCTTCCTGGAACGTTGAAAGCAGCGTCCAGGCAATTCTGGACATATGGGGACCTCACGTGGATAATTTTGGGAACCTAACTAAGCCACTGCCAAACCGGCAGCTCAAGTAGTGCCGTAACGGCTGAGATATTCCCCTCGAAACTGGACTCCAGGATCGTATTTCGCATGGATTCATGGCGCAGCCCATCAGTTTCGCGAGACCCACGCGAAACTGATGGGCTGCGCCATGAATCCATGCGAAATAGATCTTGGAGATTTGAAGGCGTATATCTCAGCCGTTAGTGAGTACCAGCGCTTCCGCCTGGGCAGTAACTTAGTTAGAACCCCAAAATTACTTCCCACCTAAAATCCCCTAGTTCGCATTTGCCTAGACGCTGCCTTTGATCTGAAATCACGGCTCCAAACGTTCAATAAGGGATTCACCCTTATCAATCGGTTATTTCAACTACATGGTCTTCATTCGTCGCTTTGTAATTTTCAGCCATTTCGGAATTGACGCAGGAACTACCACCATCGAATTCAGGGATTTTAGGCGTAGAAGTATATTTTTGCGACCCTGCAAGAAAACAATTTAAACTTCCGTTTTCCCTGATCTTATTATATCTCATTCAATACACTCATTCTACTCTATAGGTTGGGCTTTGCTTTCCGAAATATGTTTTGCACTCGACATTAATGTTACTTCGTGTTTCGCTTTTACATAAAGATGCTTGTGTTGCCGTTAGCAACACTAGCATTTCATGTGAAAGCGAATCATGAAAGAACGTTGGTCAGCATGGTCGTTCAAGTGTTTTTGAGTATGATGTTATGCAGAATGGTTGTTACTTTTCCGGTTTTGCACCTGGCTTAAAAAATAGTAAGATCAAAGGGTTTCCAAAGGTTCAAGTAAATAATGGTAATGTAAATAATAATGAAAATAGATTTATAATCTATAAGGTTTCAAAACTCTGTTTGTCTTTTATATGGTAATAAGAATAACCGAAAATTTTTTTTTACGTTGAAATAGGTATGAATTCAGACGCGATTTGAAATTTGGTCAAATGTTAACCACATTGAAAATTTCATAAAGCAAACACTCTCACTCTCTACTAATCTGCCCTATTGATTAAATCAGATCCAGCAGATATCTGTTCCTTGAAAGTCTTCTTGCAGATTCATGAAAATTTGAGTATCCAAACTACTCATAATTTCTCTTATCCATCTCTTCTCCTGTCTTACTGATCACTGAGCTTTACAAAATTCCATTCCACTGACAATCTTAGAGTTTTCTCGTGAGCTGTCTAGTTTTACCGAAACTTAAAGGCAGCGGCTCGGCAGAATGACAACTTTGGGATATTTACCGTTCTCGGCTCTCTTGGATGAGCTAATTCCAATACTGTGCTTTGCAGCTTCAAAGGATGTCAATAACCCGCTTTTCCAGACGTGAAAAGCGCTATTTGAGGGCGGACTGCGTAATTGCCCTCAAGAGCGCAATTGGCTCATGAGTGGAGATACTATACCCACCGTACCCACCAGCCAATCGCGCTCCGCAAGGCAATTACGCGGTCCGCCCTCAAATAGCGCTTTTCACGTCTGGAAAAGCGGGTTATTGATATCTTTTGAAGCTGCAAAACACAGTACTGGACTTAGCTTTTCCAGGAGAGCCGAGACGATGAATATCCAAAAGTTGTCATCCTGCTGAGCCACGGCTTTTAAGCGATGCTACCCATAACGTCTGCTGTCTTTAGTTCTTTTCATTTTCGAGTAAGCGTGGCACTGGTCAGCGGCTCCGAATTTATTCCATCTTCTAAAAACCTGTAGCTGCTCGATGTTCGTTTTTTCCAAATTCAGTATACCATTATGGATATAACGTCCCGTTTATACCCACTCTGTTCTTGTAATCACATCCTCACTTATCATACCACCTCCCAGTGATTCAGCAAAAGTTTGCAAAAATTCTATGAAGCCTGTGGCTTTTGTGGCGTTGCAGAAAACCCATTTTGTCAAAATAAAAGGTGAAATGGAGTTTTCAGATGACGCACATCACTTCTTCCAGCGCAAAGCAAGCATTTTTTTTGATTGCGATATGTTGGAAAAAAAGTAATTTGCCCTTCGACTTTTTCTCCATAGGCTCCGCGCTTATCCACTGCAACACGCGTCACTTTAGTTTTTTCCACAGATCGTACTTAACCACATCTGCCATCTTAACAGCGGAAGAGGGCCTATAAATGTCTTCGACGAACCGTTTGGTAGGTATAGTGGGGACAATTTGGAATCTGCGTTTGACCTAAGGGGGCCAAGAAACACTGATCAGAAGCGGGCCTCCATTTCCATACCGCTAAATGGTTAAATGATAAAATTATGAAAATCTTTGCTTTCGAAGTGCATTGTTATCGTTTTCTGGGATAACGCGTCGCAATACTTGCGAGATTGTTCAGTACACTTTGCGATTTGAAACTTTTCTACAGAGCAGATTAAAGGGTTTAGAATTACTCGACTTTGTCTATACTGCAGCAAGTGATCGAAATTAATGCAAGCTAAGCTTCAATAAATGCTTGTGACTGACTTTGTTAGGGAGCTTCTAGCAAATTTGGAAGGCAGACTTTTTGTTTTAGGCTCACGTGCAGTC